CACAATTCTCCAATACTCATTGAACTTGCCCTATCTATATGATTCCATGAGTCTAGGAGGGGACAGGGTCTAAGGTCTTATTCCTTCCTTTGTTCTCGCAGTTCATTATGCCCCTTTCTGCCTTCTCCTCTCCAGTCTGAACCTCTCTGGCTGTCAGTTCACTCAAAGTAGAAGGTTAAGTCTTATGGATTTTTGGATTGTTCTAACCCAAATAATGCTGACCACTCAGAAGCATTTCCTGGGCCCCATTCTGCCTTGTTCAGTAACACCTCGGATTCCTTTAGTCCTTGGTGTGTTGGCTTCACAATACCCAGAGTGGGGGAAATCATCACCTACTGAAGAATTTCTGCATCAAGTGATATTATAAATTCGGCCATCTAACTTTCCCTGGTCCTTCAGTTCCAATCCCTTTTTCTTCTTTTCCAATGCACTTCCAAGTCCCACTGCATCCACCCTAACACTCCACCGTCTTCAAGCTCTCACCCTCCCTCTCTAGGCATGAACTGGTATCTTACTCTATTGAGACAGTACTACAGGCCATTAAGGTGTCCAACTGCCCTCTTCACCAAATGGGAGAGGGGGGAGCATATCGTCACTCATCCTGTCTCCTATATCTAAAGAAGAGGTCCTAAAAAGCTGAACCTGGTCCTGACATGTTTGGTTTAGCATGCATGGTTGCTTTTTGCTTTTAGCATACGCACTTTTAAAAGAATACATTAATGCAAATTGTACTGAGATATCATTCACAGCATGCATGGTTTTTAAAACATAAATTAGTTGCCTCTTAAAAAACAAAATAGGTTTCACATTATGAAATCCAAACCCCTGGCTTTTCTCAGATAATGAGATGAGACATCACTGGGCCCCTACTATGCAACTGGCTAATACTAAGCACTGGCAGTTACCTTTTCCCACAAAGCATGAGCACCTTATTCACCAGGCCTTCCCTACCAACCAGCTGCTTCCATATGCAGTCTCTCTACGTGGACCCATGGAGCATGGAATTTGTGGCTCCTAGAGCTAAAGGAAGAGTTCTAACTTCTCGCTCCCAGGCTGAGATCTTTTCAGCCTCACCCCTCCCCACCACTGTCTGACTCCAAGGATCCCTCCCAGGCACTGCATCTTTGATCTCTCTCTGAATGAGGCAGCATGGAGTCAGTACCTACACTTCCTCTCTGAAATTCAGTCTTCAACCTCCTTTGATTCCACAACTTCAGCCACCCCTGACTTCAGCCCCCTCCTGCTGGGCCCCCACATACAAAGTTCTCTACTGGTTTTCCGCTCTTTGATCACCTCTCCAGCCCTCGTGGTAATGTCACATTGCCATAAAAGTCACTAAACACCCCCAATTTCTACCCTTACATCAACACAAACCAGCCATGGACCACACTGAGAAAAACGAGCGTAGACGTATAAACACTGACAATGGAGCTATTTCTTAGAAATGTAAATCTGATGGCAGCATTCCTGTTCTTACAACACTTCCGTGACTCTCTACTACCTGCCTGCTTGGTAAAATCCATTTTCTTCTGCAGGCCCCAAGTACCTACGACTTGGCCCCTTTCCACCAATCTACTCCTAGATTTGAGAAATCAGTGATAAACTAGCACTATTTCATATCCCTGTGACTACACATGCTCTTCCCTCTGGAAAACTCTTGTTCATCCTTTAACACCTAGTTAGGCAGAACAACCCTTCTTCTCCTTTATCAGTGTAAACACCTTGCACATATAGCAAATGTTAACATGTATCATACTGTACTGTTTGTTTCCAAGTTCGTCTCCCCTACTAGGCTGTGGATTACCTGAGGTCCAGCGGCAAACATTAGTGAACTTCCTGGCACACAAATTTTCTTTAAATGTTGGCTACCTGACCCCACCAACAGGTCAAACAACATACCCACCATCCTTCCTGACACCAAGGTTTAAAACCTCTCCCTCGGGCGCCTGGGTGGCTCAGATAGTTAAGCATCTGCCTTTGGCTCAGGTCATGGTCCCAGGGTCCTGGGATCGAGTCCCACATCGGGCTCCCTGCGGGGAGCCTGCTTCTCCCTCTGCTTCTCTCTCTCTCTGTCTCTCATGAATAAATAAATAAAATCTTTAAAAAAAAAAAAAAAAAACCTCTCCCTCAATCCCTACATCCACTCAGTTGCCAAATCCCAGTGAAAACTTTGTCACCTACCCATGTCCAGGTTGGAACATGTCTCTTCCACAGTTGGGTCTTCCTGCCTTCCAACTAAAGAGAAGACAAGTCCTTCTTCTCTCAAAAATCCTCACTGACTACTTACTGAATAAGGCCCAATGGCTTAACCTGGCATTTGGGTCCCTCAAGGCTCTGATACTTCCTACCAAGATATTCTGTGTGTTTTTGGACTTCAAGCCTTTGCTCACAACTACCTCCACCTGGGAATACTACTGGCTCTTCAAAGCCCAGCTCAGGTGCTATCACCCCCAACACATTTCCCCTTTGACAAAAGTGGCCACTCTTCTAGAGCGTGTGCCTTTTTTTTAAACCTAGGACATTATCACTTTCTACCTGTAGGCCCCATTCCCTCTAGCCAATGGAGCCCTAACAAACTAAATCTCCACATTCTCCTCTACTCTAGCATTAGCTAAATGCAGTGAAAGAGCAGGAAAACAAAATAAACCATCCGAAGGGACCCAAAACAGTTGCCTGTATCTTATCTTAATCAGGACTCTACCTACCAGCTAGTTTAAACAATTCTTATTTACTCTAAATCTTTCTTCCCCCAAACTTTCTCCTCCTCCACAACTTAAAATAATTTAGATGCTGAAGTTTGCTTTCCTGTTAATTTTTAAGTTATTGGTTTTCTCTTCCTCAAAAGAATGTAAAACAAACTCCAAAACCAACGAACAACTATGGCATTCAATGCTTACCCATGAGTCTCAAGGAAAAAGAAAGAAACAGGACTTCTTGCAAGTGGGAGGATTGGCTTATGAGTAACACACATCGCAAAGATACATGGGCAAGTGACACTTACCACCAAGATATTGTAAGACACACCTTTTTCAAATAGCTTATGCTAAAGTGCATGGCAGGACAGGCAAGAGAACAGGAGTTGGGAGGGTCTGGCAGAATATGCCAAGTTTTTCTTTAGAGCAAAAGAAGCACTTTCCACACTTGGGATGAGTCTTGAATAAAGCTGAACTAAGAGCAGGTGAAGGCCAAGTAAAAGAAGTGAGACTAGTCAGACAACAGTAGAGGTTTAAGCTTGAGAGTTGCTATGACAGAGAACTGGGAAAATAAGGTGGGACTGGACTAGATAATACTTTGTAAATCTCCACAGGAGAAATTTAGAGTGAATGAGATAGGCACCAGGAGGTCCTCGTAGGTCCCAGGGCAGGAACATGATTTTCTGTGGGAGGATCAGTTAAATGCAAGTTGTACTAGGGAGGGAGGGAAAGAGGGAGGAATGGAGTGAGGGCAGTGAACTAAGGGAGGGGCACATACCAAGAATAAAGGTCTTAACTGCAGCAGAGGCGATGGAAAGGAGGAATGAGTGCATCTAAGAGATTTTCAGAAGCATTAACAGGACTTAGTCCTGTCAAACCTTTTAGCTCTGGGGAGTGGGAACAAATTCGGTAGCTAGGGAGAAAAGAATGAGGGGCCCAAGAAGTTAAAAATTAAAAGTTAGGGGGTGCCTGGCTGGCTCAGTCCATAGAATGTGTGGCTCTTGATCTCAGGGTCTTGAGTTCAAAACCCACTTTGGGCGTGGAGCCTACCTTAAAAAATTAAAATAAAAAAACACTTAGAAAATTAAAAGTTAGGGGAAAGATTAAACAGGAAAGCAAACCTGATTCAACATCTTCAATGTTTTAAGTTATGCTGTGGAGAAGAATCACAGTTAAGTGTCTTATCTCTTCTGAAGATACTAAAACAAAAAGCACCCAGGCTTTTTTATCTAAGGGGGTCAGGAATTAGAGCATATCCAATTCTCCAAAGACACTGTGAAATTTCTCAACTGGGATGCCAAAAAAGGAGCATTTTCTTCCCAGCCAGAGGGCTTATCATTTGGGAGACAGAACAAGGGCCCTAAATCTGAATCCTGGTTCCCCGAGGTACTAGACGGGAAAACCTGGAGAAATTTGGACACCTGGAAAAGGGGGGGATGTGCTTTGTTAGTTTCTTGGCTTGGAAAGGAAGGGGAATAGTTGAAGGTGTTGCGTAGGTATAACCCTGAAATGCTGATTCTGAGAGAAGGTGAGTCACCACTTGCAGAGTTTCAGTTTCCCCAGCTGTTAATTTAGAGAGAGGAAGATAATAAAATCTACCTCACTGTATTTTTTAAGAGCTGCATTAGATAATCCTTAAGTGTTTTAGCATAACGTCTGATGTGCTATAACCATTAAATAAATGTTAGTTGAACATAACATCAATACAAGAAATAATGCTCTTTTTAACACTATTATTAAACATCCCTATCTCTTCTTGATATTCTGTGTATTTTACTACTAGAATGGTTTTGTCAGATTCTCAAAAAGGGACTGAAATCCCAAAAAGGTTTAGAACCACTGTACTGGAGGCCTGGGAAGAGAAAGGTGGCTGATGTGGTGGACAAGGAGGCTGTGGGCCCTGATACCAGGCCCTGCGCACCATCCGAGGGCCGGGAGGGAAAAGATAACAGGCAACATTCACAGCGCGCTCACTCCAGGCCAGCCACTGAGCTCTGCCCTTTACAACAGCACCTACTCCAATCCTCGCGACAGCCCTCCGAGGGAGGTCCTTTCGTCAGCGCCACTTTACAAATGGGGAAACTGAGGCGCCCCAGGACTGAACCGCTAGCCCAAGGTCACATGGCTCGAAAAGCTAAGAACGCAGGTCCGTGGGCTCTAGAGACCGCGCTCTTACCCACGGCGCTTCGCTGCGTCCCCGTACGAAGGGCAGGGAGGAAGGGGGTGGGGGCGCCCAGGCAGCCAGAGCCGAGGCCGCGGGGGCCGGGCCGCGGAAGGCGGGCGCGCGGGGGCGGCGGCGGGACTCACCTTGGCGCTGTGCACCGCCTCCTGCGCCCCGCGGAGCTGCAGCCAGATGCGCGCGGGCAGCGGTTCTTCAGCCCCCAGCGCGCCAAGCACCGCCAGGCTCACGCCGAACAGGCCCTCGATGCGGCCGCGGCTCCGCTCCAGCAGCGCCGCCTTCTCCGCGGGCGCCGTGAACTCGTCCAGCACCGCCCGGGCCGCCATGGCGGGCGCGGCCTCCCGCGGCGGCGCCGGGGGCCGGCGGCGGCGACGCCCCCTCAGCGTGCTGCCGCTACACCCGAGCCCGTCAGGCGGCGTCGGCCCTCGCGGCCGCCTCGCCCCCGCCCGCGCCCCGCCGCCTGCCCGCAGGCCCAGCTACACCATCCCTGCACGGCCGCCGCAGGTTGGCAACTGCGGGAAGAGAACCCCTCCGCCCCTTCGCCGCCGCCGCCGCGGGCCGGACCCCGCCGCCGCGCATGCGCCCAGCCTGCCGCCGTCATTGATGCTCGCCGCCCCCGAGGGAAGGAGGGAGGGCGGAGGCGACGGGACTCGACGTCACGCGCAGTGGCCATGTTTGTTGAGGGCAAGGCGACTGCTACGGAGAGGGGCCTGGTTGGCCTTCTTTGGTGAGGGCAGAACGCTTTTAGGTGACCGGATGGATGGTGAATCTCTGGTTTTATACATGGAGAAATTGAGGCTCTGAATCAGTTGACGGGACTGATCCAATGTAACAAGGGATTTGGCTTGTCTTGAAACATCTTGAAGCCCAAACTAGGGCTTTAGCAGTTGAAGTTTTCTAGCTTCTGAGTAACTGATAGGCAGATGGTCTCCCTCCCTCCCTTCCTCTCTCCCTTCCCACCTTCCTCCCTCCTTTCCTTCCTTCCTCCCTCCCTCCCTTCCACCCTCTCTCCATCCCTTACAGCTTCTCAGTAATTGCTAGGCAGATTTCCTTCATTCCTCCCTCCCTCCTTCCCTCCTTCCCTCCTTCCCTCTCACCCTCTCTTCTCTTTCTCTCTCTCTCTACCTACCCATCTTTTTCCTTTCCATTCCCTTCCCTCTTTTCTTTCCTATTGTTCTTTTGGTAAAAATGGTAACAAGAGGAGAAGAAAATGGGAATAATAAATATGGAGAATTGAAAAGCAAAGAAATGATTTAAAAATTCAGGAGAATGATTTCTTCTGGGAGGGAAGAAGCGGGATATAATAGAGGTACAAAAAGTGGGAGATTAGGGGTGCATTCGTTTTACTGTGGGACTTGAATAAATACGCCCTAACCCCTCTCCAGCTCTGTTTTCTCATCTATAAAATCATGGGTTTACTCAGTTATCTTTAAAGGCTTTTCCAGATCTTACATTCTCTGAGTCCTTAACAAGAGATTGTGGGAGATAAAATGTTGGTTTCCTTTCTCTGGGCTAAATGTCCTGGATATAGTAGATAGATAGATAAGGATCGTGGGAATATTACTTAACTTCTCTATGTCTTAATTCGCTATCTGTGAAATGTGGGCAACAATAGTACCTGTTGTTGTGAAAATTACTGCAGTACCTGGACACAGTAAATGATCACTAAGTACTAGCTAAATTAGCAATGCATTTAAGGTTCTATTTTCATGGAAAAGCTTTGTATGGATTATACAACCATGTTGAACTTGTGGCCCCGGGAGCCCCCTCCATCTGTGTAGATTTCCCCTTAAGCAGAAAGAAGGGGATCTAAAGATGTTACAGTTGGAAATGCCAAAGGTGAATGGTCTTGGTAAGAGGGATTACCCAAGGTAAAACCTCTCAGGGATCCTGGCTGCTGGGGTTTTCCATTTGCCTCAGAAATTTAGGCAGGTGTGGTTCCCTGGTGCCCCAGTGAGAGATGACTCAGCACAGGGAAGAGAACCATTAGGCTCACTGACCAACAACTTCCTGTTCCCCTGGGCTTTTCCCTTTGTGTCTACACAACTCTCAGGTAGGTGACCTGAGATTGGCTGAGACAAGGCAGGTGGTGAGCATGGCCTTGTTGATAGATTGCACTAAGAGCTAGAGTCAACACATGTTATTTCCTGTCTTATTGCTGCACTCACCTTAAAAGGAATTGCTATTGTTCAGTGATTGGACAAGGCTTTCCCCAGGGCTTTCCTGTTTGCTCCCAGTTGACTTCCTGGCCAGTGATTCTTAATTGCTTAATTGTAAGGGGTGAGGAGAGGCTGCCTTGAAAAACACACAACAGCTCCTTCCTGTCCCCCAACAAAAACCCACCCTATACCAACAAAAGTAGTGCATACACACACCCATAAAAGAAAGCTGGGCCATTATACTGTGTTCATAAGTCACTGGATTCGTGTATCACCAGACATACAGCTGTTGGGGTTTTTCCCCTATTTAAAAGACTTGTCAGTTCATAGCTGGTCAGCATTTCCCTCTAGGGAACTCTCAAGGTTTCCTGAGTGTAGGGAACTAGGAGAGAGGGAGAAAGAGAAATCCCCTTTTTAAGAAACTCCCTTGATTCCTGCAATTTCTGAACCACAACTTTCCTCAGTTGACCAGCCTTGCCTATCTTGGCTAGTGTCACCAGCCCGGGACAGTTGATGCCAAGGATGAGACCTTTATGGAGTCTATATTCCAAACCCTTTACCTATTTTTTTCTCTAATATCCGTAAGAGCCCCATGAAACACTGTTGAGGGAATCACTTGTTTCCCCTTCTCATATTTTCATGGAGGTTGGGGGTGGATTCCTACTTTATTCCCTAGCAGGGCCAAGTGTGGAGGAATACATCCTATCTTCCATCTACCTCTGCCTCATTTTTCCCCAGGGCAGGAGGAAGACTTACCTGATCCAGGAGACCAGTGGCTTTCTGAGAAGACTTAAGTTGGACCATCCTCCCCCAGAGAAGGTATGTTATTGTGTGCTGTCTGCAGTTGTTCACTGGGTCACTTCAGCCACATCCTCCAGTCCAGCTTTGTCAGTAATAAAGATGACCTTTTGACCTCCACCTGTCGGACACTTGCTTTTGGTCTCAGTTCTGAAAGCAGGAGGGGCAGAAAGTGTTTATTGGTCTTCTAAAATGCCAACAGTGGTTGCTATTATTATCATTCCTCTTTTCAAGGTGGGGAAATAGAGGCATAGAGAGGTTTGGGAATGTTTCACAGAGCTGGGAAGTCAAGTGATAGGAATAGGAATTAGAATCCAGGCCCTCTGTGCTGGGGCGCTCATGTATGCTGTGCCTTAATGACGACAAGCCTTCATCTGCACCCAACCCCCTTTTCTGGCCTTGAGCAAAAGTAAACAAGGGGAGATAATATGTTCTCATGACTGACCTCCTAACCCTTGGGCCCTACTTGCCTTGGAATGCTGTCAAAAATAGACAGATTTGCACAAGTAACATTGCTTGGCACAGCCAAACAATCTGATAAACTGACTCAACATGCCCTCCAGCCAGCAGTCTCTGGGGTGGTGAGTCCTCCTGGGTTCTTTTTTTTTTTTTTCTTTTTGTATAATGACATCTATGGCTTTAGAGTAAGAAATAGGAATACAATTGTGTTTTAGCCACACACGTTTTAATATATTTACAAACTGTTCAGTTTTTCTCATCTCCCTTGTCACTAATCCAAGCCACTATCGTTTCTCGCTTTGACAACCGTGGGGTCCACCTCCCACATTCTTCCTGCCCTCTCTCCAAATTTGAAGAGCTACAACTGCCATCTGGTTGGGAGAAATTATTTACAAATATCGATGCTGCAGCCAGAGTATGTTCTCAAATGGCAAATTTCATCAGTCAATCTCTTAAGACCCCTCAAGGGCTTTCCCTTATGCTCAAAATAAAATCCAAACTCCTTACTGTAGGTTTCAGCTTTTGCAAGAACTGTCATGCTTATTCCTCCTGTACTCCTTTCTCCACCTAGCCTAACTTACACTGCCTCAGGGCATTTGTACAGGCTGGTTTTTTTTCTTCCTGTTTTCTTTTTACTTCATTAATGCCTGCTTCTCCATCAGATTTCAGCTCAAGATCCACTTGTTTAAGAATTCAATCACTGGGGGGACACCTGGGTGGCTCAGTGGTTAAGCACCTGCCTTCAGCTCAGGTCCCGCATCAGGCTCCCTGCTCGGCGGGAAGCCTGCTTCTCCCTCTCCCACTCCCCCTGCTTGTGTTCCCTCCCTCGCTGTGTCTCTCTCTGTCAAATAAATAAATAAAAATATATATAAAAAAAAAGAATTCAATCACTGGGGGTGCCTGGGTGGCTCAGTTGGTTAAGTGTCTGCCTTCAGCTTAGGTCATGAACCCAGGGTCTCTGCTCAGCAGAGAGCCTGCTTCTCTCTCTCCCTCTGTTGCTTCCTCTGATTGTGGTGTGTTCTCTCTCTCTTTCTTTCTCTCTGTCAAATAAATAAATACAATCTTTTAAAAAAAATTCATTCACTGGCTTTTCTGATGAATCATATTGCCTTGTCACAGGCTCTTGGAGACACTGTGGTCCTCTTGCTCATATCACTGGGATCAGTCTTACATATGCTTGTGTGATATGATTGATTCATGTCCATCTCCAGATGTCATCAGACCATCAGCTCCATAGGGGCTGTCACCTAAGCTGGAATGAGCTTGAATTATTTCAGGAATGGAAAGCAGGGCAGCATGTAGCCCTTTATGGCTAGAGAGTGCTGAGGCAGGGGGACACCCACAGGTAGGATGAGGCTGGATCCTCCAGAACCAACCTGGAGGGCCAGTTATAGATTCTGTGTTTTAAGTACACTGGGAAGCGTTCCTGGGTTTTAAGCAGCACACACACCATTCAGTGTGTGCTCTGAGATCCCCCTCTCTTCCCTGGGAGAGGAAGCGTGGAGGGTGAGTGGACCTGGGAGTAGAATTTAGGGGGTATTGGTCCAGGAGAGGGATGGTGGTGGTTTGGATCAGGGAAGTTGGAGTGGAGACAGAGAGGAGGAATCTGAGAGGTATTTTGGTAGTAAAACCTCAACAGTGAAGTACAAGGGGCTTGTTTCTCCTTAGCTGCAGAAAAGCCCTGGTGCTTCTGCTGCTTCAGTCTTATGTTTCTTTCCGTTTACAATTCCTCTGTGTTGTTATTACCCACATTATTGGAACTCCTCTGACATTAATTCAAACCGCTAACCTGCTACAGCATGGAGAGTCACTTATAAATCTCAGTCGTCTCAGGTGGGAATGCAGTTTCTGGGCCAAGTGTTACTCCATGACTGCCTGCAACCTACCAGCTCTGAGATGCCCTGAATCTACAGTATTTTCCTATCACCCTTTACAGCAGGGTTTCTCAACAATGGCACAGTTGACATTTTGGGCCAGATAATTCTTGGTTGTGGCAGCCCATCCTGTGAATTATAGGATGTTGGGCAGCAATCCTGGCCTCCCTCAGCAGATGCCAGTAGCATCCTTCTAGCCCAGTTGTGGCAACAATAAAAACATCTCCAGATAGTGTGTAATGTCCCCATCCCTATTAAGAAC